CCGCGAGGAAGACGATGCGCTGGCGGAGGAGCTGGACGGAGGCGAAGGAGAGGCACAGCCGTGGAGCCTGCAAGAGGCCAGGCTGAAGGCAAAGGGCAAGCGGCGAGTGCGGCGGACCTCCTCCCGCGATTCCCATAGGGACGCCCTCCCCGAAAAGGGGGAGCAGGAACCCGACCCCAGTAGCCCAAAGGGCAAGAACCATGACCGCAAGTCCCGCATGGGGAAGGGCCGAGGCCTGCCCAAGAAAGGTACGGCATCTGCCAGCCTGGAAGCTTGCTCTTGGGTGGTTCTGCAGGGGGAACGTGCCTGACAGCGCGCTCTCTTTCTAGGTGGGGCCGGGGGCAAAGGTGTGTGGGGAGCACCTGGGGTTGTCTACAGCTACCAGGAGCCAGATGCCCGGGACCCCAACTACGACGAGGCTGCCCAGGTACTGCTTGAAGCTGGGCACAAGTGCAGGTTTGGTGCATTGCCATCCATGGGGTGTCCAGATTTAGAGGTGTGGGGTCATCTGAGGCAAAGCAGCTTTCACACAGCAGGGCTTGGAAGCCGTGGCTGCAGAAGGTGACACAAACAAATAAAAAGCTGCTGATGTCCAGGCCGGCCGCCGCGGCCTCCTCCTCCTCCTCCTCCTTCCTGAATCCCCATCCTGCTTGACCAGCCCTGCTTGGAGGGGGAGCTGGATTGGAAGGGTCCTTTAATTGGAAAGGATATTCTGCTCTCTGGACAAACCACAGGTTGATTATCTTAGTCCATCAGTAGGGTTGGCACTCCCAGCCTCTCATATTTGAGGTCCCAGCTCCAGGAGACTTGGACAGCAGAGATAGCCATAATGCTCAGCTCAGCCACTGCTTGGTGGGTCATCTGCCAGGCCAGCTCTTGAGGGGTCTGGTTCTGAAGAAACAGGGCTGATGCTCTTTAGCCAAGAAGAGGCACAGCAGGAAGCCCAGGAAGTTGTGCTTTAATGGTCTTTGGGCAACCTGGGACTTTTTTAGGGGAACACTGTCTATGCCACGGTGGTGCCTGAGCTGGAAGAAGAGGAGCTTGAGAAGACTGTGCAGCCGATGGTGCTGGAGTATTTTGAGCACGGAGACACCTTGGAAGTGGTGGTGAGTGCGAGGAGAGGAATCCCCAAAGCATTTTCCCAGCAGGGAGCACATTGTCTCAGTCTCTGCAAAGGAGGGAGCCTATGGGCCACCCATAGCTACCGGCCACCGGAGACTCTGATTAGGATCCTTTTCTCTAGTTTAGGTAACCATGCTCAGAGTCACTTGGTAACACACTGGATCCAGAAAATTCTGTTGTAAAGCCTGTTGAAATGTTGAAAGAAAAAAGGGAAGGGAAGACAATGTCCTTGTAAAAGAGAGAGGGTAAGGGAAGGCCAGTTTCAGACACACTGACAGGCTCTCTTTGGCTGGACCAGGGGTCTGCTTTAGAGGTCTGTGTGCTCTGCCGTTTCCCTTCTGTTTTTCCTCCAAGCCTCGTGCCCTGTGTCCCCTGGCTTGGGTCTAGTCACCTTGGAAGTCTGCTTGAGAGGGAAGCCAGGAACTGCTTGGTGCGGCATTCCTGGTGCAAGGAAGTGACAGACAGGTGTCCCAGCAGAAGGGCTGGGGGAAACAGGACCTCGAGTCTTGGAAATTAGGTAGCTGAGTTGCAATCCAGAGAGCTCTTTTGGTGGCTTTTTTTAGAATCCCTTGTGTTGAAGCCAAAGCTTCACAAAAAGCTGACAGGTTTGTTTTTAAAAGTCAACTTCTTTTATATGTTGAAAAGTTGATAGAATTTTCAACATAGGCAGTCCCTCTATAATAAGTGGCTTGACTTCTTTGGAGCAGTTTGAACTGCTGTGTATTTTGGCTTTTCAGAGGAATGAGAACTTTTCTTTATCTCTCTATTATATTTGTGAGATGTTTTAAATAATTTGATTATCATTGAAGATAATCTTGTTTTTGTTGCCAGTGCAGCCCCTGTGAGCTGAATAAAACCCTTTACGTAGACAAGCAGTGTCTCTGATGTTTGCAGAGAGCCCTGGAAAGCATGGGATAGGCCCCGGAGCCCTGGCCAGGCTAAACCTGGCTCCATCAAACAGACCTAGGTGAGGCGGAGGCACGTCCCTCACCTGGTACCTCTTCCCTCCTTTGGCAGGAGCTGCTACGGAATCTGAACTTGGGGGGCCACAAGGCAGCCGTGTCCTCCCTGGCCGTGGTGCTTTCTCTGGAGGGGAAGGCCAGCCATCGTGAGCTGACCTCACGCCTGCTTTCCGACCTGGTGGGGAAGGTGCTGAGTCCCGAGGACATCGCTGCTGCTTTTGACGGGATGCTGCACGACCTCCCGGACCTCATTCTCGACACGCCAGAGGCACCACAGGTCAGTCCTGCCCGGGAAGGGGAAGCAGAGGGCCTTCTTGTTCTGGGCCCCTTGGCCCTTGACCCTGCGGTCCCTGTCTTGCCCGTGCAGATGCTGGGTCAGTTCATCGCCCGGGCTGTGGCCGACCACGCGCTCCCCCTTGATTTTCTTGAGCGCTATAAGGGGCGTGTCGACTGTGAGCATGCACGGTGAGAGGGCCTGTCTTATGCATGTGATGCAAGCATTGGATTTACTGGGATTGATGGCTCCAGGCTGGCAGAGGGAGGGGTCTCCCTGCGCTAAAATCTCCAGGGAAGTGTGTGTGAGACACACAAGCACACACCCTGGTTGGCCTCCTGCTACTGGCCCTCCAGTCTGGTGCTGATACTTTTCCTTCCTGACAGGGCTGCCCTGGATCGTGCTGCCGTTCTCTTGCGCATCAAGCGAGACGTCAATCGGTTGGACAATGTGTGGGGCGTGGGGGGTGGCCAGAGGCCAGTCAAGCATCTGATCAAAGAGGTAAAGAGCTGGGCGTAGGGACACCCCAGTCTGTCCTTGCCTGCCTCTGCAGGTGTCCTTGGGTGGCTCTTGGACGCTTAGCCATCTGCCAAATGCACGGGATGTGTGACGGGGTGACTGACAGAGGAATGCGTTTGGGGCCAGGCATGTGGAGGGAGGGAGCCTGAGGCCTGCTCCCTCAGGGTTTGCTCAAGGAAAGGAGGGAAGCAAAAGTCCTACAGGCTTCAGGGAGGCAAAGGTCGTGAAGTTGCAAGGCTGCACACCTGTGGGGATCTTACAATCTAGGGCCGCCTCTGGCTGGGATTCACCTTCTGTGAGGACATGTGAGCAAGGGAGGGGTCTCTGTGGGTCTCCCTGGCTAATCAGGGAATGATAGAGAATGAGAAACCGATTTCAGGAGCAGTTTTTATTGGTGAATGAATTCAGGCTTGGTACTGAAAATAGCTAAACTGGCAAGTGACACACCCAGTTTAAAAGCCTTATTAAAATGTATGGGTGAAACAAAGAGCAGCTCCCCACCTAGGAAGGCATGCTCAAATAAAAAGAATAAAGGAAAAGGGCCAGCCGAAGGGGCCTTGGGGACTTCAGGAGGGATCGGGTACTCTGTGCGGGGCTGTGAAGTGGGGTGGAAATAGGAACTGGAAAGGGGCTGGGAAGAGAGGGTGCCTTGCCGGCCTGTGGGGCTAAGGATATTAGATCCTGAACCCAGAACGCGTAAAGACTGCGATCTGGGAAGAGGTGCAGCCTTTGTGTCTTGCAGCGCTCTTCTGCCTGCCAAAAGGTCTCGAGAAGGTGCACCGGAGGCCTGGGCTGGACTGCTGCCCCATCTCCTTTCTTTCTTACTTCCCCCCCCCCCCCCATGAATCTCCTGCTACGGGAATACCTGTTGTCAGGAGAGGTGTCTGAGGCTGAACGCTGTCTGCGCCAACTTGAGGTGCCCCACTTCCACCATGAGCTTGTCTATGAGGTAAAGAAGGGAGGCAGCAAATGAACCATTCTGGAGCTTTGGGGGAGCAGACCGTGATCTGGTTCGCCAAACACAGGGCAGGGAGCTCTGGGCCTTCTCTCCATGCTGATGCCTACCAGGATCTGCCTGGGCAAACATCTCTGTCTCCTGGCCTCTGGGCTGATGGTTGGCAATTGCTGCCTGCCTCCTATCCCTGTGTGCTCATGGCAGTTTCCTCCCTACATCTGTGCCAGGCTGTGGTGATGGTGATGGAATCTTCGGGAGACACAGCCGTTGCCATGATGGTGAAGCTGCTGAAACTGCTGTGGCAGACTGGGCTGGTGACCCTGGATCAGATGAACCGAGTAAGATCTTAGAGAGGCTCTAGCTGTCCCACTTGGCCCGAGGCCCACCTGTGGTCCCACAAAAAAAGTCTGCGGTTCCTGTAATCCTGCATGCAGCAAGCCTCTTTTTCTCCCTCAGGGTTTCCAACGGGTCTACAATGAGCTTGGAGACATCAGTCTGGACGTGCCGCTGGCCCACAGCATCCTTGAGCGGATGGTGGATCTCTGCTTTGAGGAGGGTGTGATCACCAGGCAGCTGAGAGAGACCTGCCCTGCCCGGTAGGTCCCACCAAACTCTTTCCACCTGCTTTGGAAACCACATCAGCTTCCGGGATGGACTGACCCCCCCCCCCAAACTATCTGCAGAATGTCTGCTTGGCCTATTCTGGAAGAGTTTTGTTCTCTGGATGTTCCTCTTTAAGGGCTGTTCCTGGTGCTTGGGGGCACAAGAGACAGCGGGATGGGGGCTGGTTGAAACAGGAGACATGTGAGAGGATCAGATGCCTTGCAAACAGCCCAGGGCACAGCATGGTCCGTCTGCCCCGGCCTCTAACACCCCTCCTCCTCCTCAGGGGCCGGAAGCGCTTTGTCAGTGAAGGAGATGGTGGCCAAATCAAGCAGTAACTGGAAGCTTTCAGCACCCCCTTTCCCCTCCCCAGCAATGCCTTCAACCCAGCCAGACCTACCAATCTTAACAGAGAGGCCAGGAAGTCTTTGCTGAACACCATCTACCATCACCCGCACCACCCTGAGCAGCTTGTCCGGCAGGCAGGAGGGGTCTATCAGGGGAGTGAGCCGGATGAACTGCACTTCCTTCTTGACCGGTGGGGGCAGGGGTGGGAGTGGTAGAAGCAGGAGAATGAGAAAAGCTTGTTTTCTTGCAGGATATTTCCACATGTGTGCGCACCCCCCCCCCACAGTGCTGCACACCAGCAGATGCATCTCAGGAAGCCTTAGGCCAGCGGGAACTGCTGCAGAAGGGACCTGTCTGGACCTGCTGGGCAGCCAGGCCGGAGAAGGCAGCAGGGCCTTCCCTCACAGCCTCTGGCTAGTGCAGGGTGGTTGGTCTCCTGCCTTGTGCAGCTGGTTCCCAGGCCTTGTGGGGACGGGTAGGCAGGAGCCAGGCGGCAGAGCCTCCCTGCAGCCAAAGAACCTTCTGTTCACAGGACGCCTCGAAGCCCTCTTGCCACCACAGAGGCGGGGGGAGGCCTGGCTGGGTTGAGGGCCGAGGAGAGAGCAGCCAAGCACGGCAGGGCTGATGACTGTGCCCCTGCTCCTCCACGCATCTCAGGTTGACAAGGAGTTGCTTCTGCTTGGCGCGGTCCGCAGAGGGGTGGAGAAGCAGAGCAAGCGGGACGTCTGCGTGGGAGGGAGTTGTGCCAAACTGCTTAATGGTCTTGCGGGCAAAGGTGGTAGGGATGGGTGAGTCTAATGAGAAATCAAAATAAACGATGTACCCAAAGGGCACAGGTGTCTTGTCTCTTGCTGCATGCTTCACGGGCAACTGTTCGTCTTTGGAGGGAGCGAATGGCAGTTTTGACTGTAGCAAAAACGCCCAGCTGGGAGAAAAATGCACCCCCAGCGCACGGTGCTGTGTGCGCAGCTGCACCTCCTGTGTCTCTCCCCAAGTAGGTTCAGAGAACCGGCTGTTCTCGCACCAGGGGCCCAGTGAACTCGAATTCTGAACTCGTGCGGAGCGGGAGCGGGGTTGGGGGCCGTCCTCGGAAGGGCGGGGCTGCTCTCCCCCGAAAAAGCCCGCTGTCGCCGCAGGG